AATTCAGTATAGAGAATGTAAGCTTCATTTAGAAGTTTGCTAATTCTCTTATGCCATATTCATCAGAGAGTATGTTTAATATACCACCATGGTATATTAAATCCAGAAAGAAATAAGCCTTTTTTTGAGCACTCGAGAGAGCCAACCATTATTAGGTTGACTTACTTGAGGACTAAGAGAATACGCAGAACTGGAATTCTCAGTGAGAGTAGCCTAGAAATTGAGAAAACAGAAACTCACAGGCAATAACCTTCTGTCAAACCATTCACACTTTGAATCCACAGGCAAGGCAATAGGTAGATCTATTTTTCACCTTATCCAAACTGGTTATAGTAGTAGCTTAGACTATAGAATAACTGTGCACACTGTTCTTTTCAGCTTCCAATATTAAGTACACTCAGAATTTAAAAAATAACAACAACAACAAAAAAACAGGGCGCCTGGGTGGCTTAGTCAGTTAAGAAGCATCTGCCTTCTGCTCAGGTCATGATGCCAGGATCCCGGGGTGGAGCCCCGCATTGCATGGGGCTCCCTGCTCAGCAAGGAGTCTGCTTCTCCCTCTACCCCTCCTCCCACTTGTGCTCTCTCTCAATAAATAAATCTTAAAAAAAAAAACAACACTCAGAATAAAATAGCTTTCCCTCCTCTCCAAACCCACTCCTTTCACTCTATTTTCATCAGTAACTATTTTGATGGTGAACTATGGCTAGTGAACAGAAAAGTCACATATGACCTTATACTCTAGATGAGCATTAGGCATTTGCACTGGCAATTCCCCACCTAGAATGTTTTTCTCCAGCAATCTGCATGGCTAACTTCTTCGTCCTTCATTATTACCTTCCTAATGTCATTTATCTAATCTCCCTAAAGCTTCCTATTCTTCTCATAGCACTAATCATCTAAGATACTATATAACTTATATTTGATGTATATTATTGGTCCCTTGCTAAGAATATGAACTATATGAAAACAGTGATCTCTATGTTCTTCATTAATAATAAGCACCTAGAACAACTTGCACAATGTATTTGCTCAGTGTTCATGGAGTTAATTTAATAATGCTGGTAATATGCCTCCTCTAGATAAATGATTCCCACATCTCCACTTCCATCCTGACTCTGTTCAAGAGAACGTATCACAAACATCTGCAACCCAACATGCCAAAAGTTCTTCACACTTCTCAGAAACCTGCTTCATCTTCTGTCTTCCCCATTTTAGGCAATAACACCATGTACCCAATAGCCCAATTCAGAAACCTGAATCATCCAAGACTTGAAACTTTTCATATCTAACTATTCATTAAATCCAGTTATTTCTATTGCCTCATTATATAAATATCGGATGCTCCTCGTCTAGCTATTGGACTCCCCAGCAGTAAAACACTTGTCTCCCTGATTCTCCCTCACCCTATAAATTGTAGCCAGAAAGTTCATTCTGATAAGACACCTGATTTAAAAATCTCTCAGTAATTCCCCATATACTGAAGAATGAAGATTCAACGCTAACCTTAAAAAAAGGCTTATTTATGACCTTGCTTTTGCCTTTCCAGCTTCACCCCCACCACTTCCCCAACAGCTTAGCACACTTTTCCTCTGTCCCTCGCCCTGCTCATGCTCTCTCTCAAATAAATAAAATCTTAAAAAAAAAAAAATCTTAAGCTCATCTCAGTATGAGATCCACTGACCTTAAAGCAAGGTAAACATATTCCAGACATCCTAAATTGAAGAAGCTTTTAAGGACTGACTTCAATCCAGAAACTAGATATTACTAATATTTATTGGAAAATGTTTAAAATTCCAGACAACTAAATTAAAAATGATTTTTAGAACATAATTAGTGAAGGCCTATGAAAAAAAAAACTAACACTGATGTCAATTAACATGGTCAAAATAGAGCAAAATATCTACTAAGATTAATCACTGTTCCATGCTGAGGGAGATAAATGTAGGAAATGGTAGTTAAGAAAGCCAAGAAAATTTAAATAGAGTCCTGAGAGATTGCTTAAATGTGGATGAATGATAGCGGAATCCAAAAAAAAAAAAAAAAAGTAAAAGAATTATGGAAGATGTGTCTGAGAAAGTTGGAACTGATCAGAACAGAAGATTTGCATTGCAAAGGAACAGAAAGTAAGGCTGCATAGGAATTCGACAAGCTTTCCTTTCCTCCCCTTTAGTAGATATCACCTACCTCTCCTATTTCAGATAAAGCACAGAGGCTCTGAAAAACTCAATCCCAGAGCCAAAGCCTAGAATCATTCAGGTCTGCATGACTTTAAATCCCACGCCCTTTTCATCATATCACATTGTTTCACAAAGGTAACAGACAAAGAACACATTCAAGTGCATTAAACGCTAATACAAAGTAAGCAACTAGAGGAGAAGCTCACTGCAGGCTTTTAAGTCTAGAAATAAGGTGTAGGGGAAAATGTCATTCCAGAAAATTAACCTGGCAGTATACAAGACAGATTAAAGGAGAATAAGGCTTAAAGAAAGACTACTGACTAATAACTTAAAATACTGCATTCTCTGCTAGTTTCACAAATTACTTGATTTTTCGTGCTTTAAGGATACCTCTTATATAAGCCCCACTATACTTTATTAAATACTTAGGAGATTCTTGATTGTTCAATGTAAGTGATCAAGTAATTGAAATTATAAAAATACCAGGTGTTTGCTTATATATGTTTACAAATCTAAATCTTCCTTCACATCTGGATAAAGCTTACAATCTTAACTGCTCAACCTCCTTCCAGGCTCAGCTCTCCTCTCCATTCTACCTTTAAAAAAAGGATACTCAGTTAACTTTGCAAATACATCATCCATATCTGAAGTTTCCCTTATCAAGAATCTAAATTGTTTCACATCAATTAACTGTAACAAATCCAAACTCCTCTGCCCTCTCTCATCTCACCTAAACTCCTCTCCAAAAAGATCATGCATGCAGCCTCCTCACTGTGCCACAAAGTAACACACACACCACCTGGAGTTGTTTGATATATTTCTCAAACTACAGTACCTCTTTCCATTCTCTCATTCAACTTCAAACCATCCGTGAAGACCAAGCTCAAAATCTAGCATTCTCCACAAAACCCAATTCTAAGCCCTACCACACTAAAATGGATTCCAAACTGGTAACTGATAGGCTGCATGTGACATGTGTTTGGCCCAGGGTTTCTTTGGTTTTGTTTTGTTTGTAATAAAACGTTATTTCATCAACAACACTTAAAAACTGGGAGATATCACTTTCCAAAACCGTATTTCCAACTATTATTGAAAAACCTACACGCTCCGGCAACACTGGAATCATATTCTCACAAAGCAACAATCAGCTGAAGCTAAGTAGCAGCTGATCCCTTTCCAAAGGTTCTTATCATCTTAAAGTCAGATGACATGTCAACTGCCCAACTTCTGTGACTGTATTTGCAGCAGTTTCAGTCAAAGAAATACCTGACTGCCTATGGGCACTGGAATTACAAAAATAAACAAGAAAATAACAGTCCCTCCCCCACAGCCTAGCTCAGTAGAGAAGGCAAAGAGACAAGCAATTAATAGGCATACATGTGGTAAGTGCTATGATGAGGAAAGTAGAGGGCACTTAGCATATGGCAAGGCTATCTAACTCTCTCTGGGGAAAGTTACAAAACATCCCTCAGAGAAAGTCACAGGTAAAGTGAAACCCTTAGCAGGTGTAGGGATTATCCACAAAGAGGCAGAAGAAAGGTCAGAGAAATCAAATGCCACAGAGAGAAAAGAAAACTCTACAAAGACCCTGGAGATAGGGGGGAGGAAAAATATTCTGAGGAAGTGAAATCAGTTCAATACAGGCAGAGCCATCAACTTAACCTCAAATGCAGGTGTCAGAGAAAGGACTCAATTGAAAGGGCAGGAGGCAAAAAGCCAAGTGCTGGTTATGGTCAGGAGATGAAAGAGGCTTTCCATCAAGCGGAAGAACATGTAAGAGTTTGTTAGCAGGGAATAGAGGTTTCAGCGAGCTTAGCTGTTGTGTTGAGGGGTGAAATGTGTAAGGAGGGAAAAGCAGTGATAGCCTAAATCAAGGGAGAGTAAGTACAAAGCAGCATGGGGATGAGAGTGTAGCATAGAAGACCAAAGGGGCTTACATCTTGGGCGGTAACCAAAAATAACGGGGATGTGAAGCATGGTAGCTTTGGCTGGCCACAAGTTTGCCAGGAGAATTAGTCGCAGCGGTCCCCTGGAGGATGTGGAGGCATTCGGGCCTATCAAAATTCAGCTGCGCCCTGGATGCACTTCCTTCTCTCTAGAAGACACCGGCTTCAATCTGGATTGATTGGTGCAGACTCCAGGAGAGGCTCTGGATTCCAGGCTGCTGGCACGCACGCTCCCAAGGAATGGTTAGAGGCCTGGTCTGTGTGTGCTGGTGGGTAGAAGTATAAACTACCCTGTATTAGTTTCTGATTTTTCTGTAGGAATGATGGGCCCGTTCACCTCCTCTTAAGAGAAAAAGCAGTGTGTGCCCATTATAGATTTACAGGACGGAAAAAGGCGCCAAGTAATCCAACATTTGTCCATACCAACTCAAGATGAGTCATTCTGTGAATCCGAGTTGACCTTGTCTCAACTACACTCAGATATCCGCCAGAAAAAGGCCTGTTTTACACTTCTTTTGTAGCTCTCTAAGTAACTAATACTGAACTGGTACATCGAACACATTCTTTAAATTTACCGACTTCCTAACTTATCTTGGGTCATTGAAGTTACCTAGTTCAGTCTTCTTTCTGCATAATAAGGCGCTAAAGAGAAGCAAACCTGTGTCTCAGACTCAACAGTTTCCTTTATTTCAAACTCCACTGCGTCTCTACACCCTCCACCGCAAGGGCAGAATTACTGCACGAATCAAATGCAACGGGAGACTCCAAGTCCCGCCACGCAAAACACCCGCTCTCCCGCCCACACACTCGACTCGGGCGTAGCAGCCCCCGAGCCCGGCCCTGTCCACCTCGTGGAAAGGTAAAATGCGCTCACCGACTCTGGGCCGCCGGGAGACCCCGTAAATGTAGTCGTCGGCTCGTCGCTCCTCTCCTAAGCAGGCAGTTCCGGCGCGCTTAAAGACGTCAGCAAAAGCGCCCGCCTCCGGGCCCGCCTCCGGAGCCTGGGTCTAGCTACAGCCAGGAAGAGGCGTTGCTGTCGCTGCCTTCTAGTCTCCGGCGCCTGACCACTCCCAGGACCCGTGATGCCAAGGCCCCAGCGGGGGACGAGGAAGAGTCCGGGTTGAGTCGAGGGCTAGCGCTCTAGTCTCCCAGGTCCGCCCCACCTAAAGGTAAACGCTTCCTCAGCTGCGGCCTTTCTCCCAGCAAGCCCCTCCCCAGACCCGGCCGCGAAAACGATTTGCCCCTCTCCCCCGTCACCCTTTTTATTCCGGGCCATTTACCGTTGCCCGCCCTCGCAGTTCTCTCCAGAACGGTAACGCATAGTTTCAAATGGGAAACTTTTAGCTGTGGAGTTCCTGAACTTGTCTAGTAAATTCCAAGAAACATCTCAAGCATCAAGCAGTTTTCCTATTACTCCGCGAATTGGCATGTCCTACGGTCAATATTTTGCCATTTGTGATGGCCCCTACCCCCCCCATCGTAAATACACACCACACAAGCTTTTTAAATCGAAATTTGAACCTTGTTGAGTACGATATAATTTTCACGGATAGTCTGTTTTGTAAAATACGCTATAAAAATTAACTACAAATTACATTTTAAGCTAAAAATACATACACAAATCAGTATCTTTCAAGGCACGAAAACTTATTCGTATAGTAAAATATACCGTTTCATTATTTACGAGTAATATGCAAAATTAGTGATTTGAAAGAACTTTATATCATCAAAAGGTGAGGCTAAAATTTTCTCTTAACACTACTGCAAAGAAAAATATTAAGACAACTAAAAAAGTACCCCAAACCAAAGCATTAGTGAAAATGAGCGGCTACAGTTCTTTCTGAGCTAGCAGGCTCTTTATGATGTGGTAGGCAAGGTATTAAGCCTTTTCAAAAGCACTTTTTTGCTGTTAGCTTGAGGGAAGGTTAAGTGAAGCCTCAGAATTTTTTATTTATCTGTTTAAAACTCATTCTGCCTTCATACCATAATCCAGCACTATAATGGTTAAAGACTCTACTTGAAAGAAAGACCAGAAAGCTCTTTTTCAGTAATATCTGGGGAAAAGAAATTCCTTAATTCATCCAGCTGGAGTAATTGTTTTTAATCCTAAAAAGTGAGGAAGGTGTATTAAATGTGGCATAATTAAATCAACGATTGTATACATTGGTTCTGCTTAGAATGAAGAATACCTGGTTTAGATTGCTTCTGGGTTTGTTTTCCTTTATAGAGATGAGTGGTGGATTGGCCCCAAGTAAAAGCACAGTGTATGTGTCCAACTTGCCCTTTTCCCTGACCAACAATGACTTATACCGGGTAAGTAACTTTTAGTACAATTGTCTACTGAACTCTATCTAAGGTACAGATGTAGCTTAAGCAAACAGTTCTCTTCGGCAAAATTCTTAATAACTACATTACAATGCACTTGAACTATCAATAGCAAAGACCTCTATTGCAAACATAAGTAAAACAATTGACAATCTTGTAATTTCCCAAAGAGAGTATACAGTACTTTCATAGAGAATAACAAGTTCTTTATAAACACAGAAGACACAGCTAGCATAATGAAGTGGTAGCAACTTGTGATAGGCCGGTTTTTCGTGCTTGCTTACTTGGTTTTTTGAAACTGGTGGGGTAGAGGTTTTGGAGGAAAGGGCTAATGAAAGCAAACAGATCCCTTTACTAACCCTCAAATTCTAAAAGGATATTTTAGTTTATATATATGGCAGAAACCTAACAGTTTAATGTTTTTCAGTTCAGGGTGGGGTTGGGGTGGAATCCAACATCTTCTTTCACCTCTTCACCTTACAGAGAACAAAATTTCCTGCTGTCCCTGTCCTGCAGATGAGTGGTTAAGAGGAACTGGAAGGAATGACATGAATCCTTTCTTCCAAGTGTGCCCTCTTCTCTCTGCTTCTTTGGGTAGATGTTAAGTACAGAGATGCTGCATAGGTGATACATAGTATTTGATTAATTACTTAGATAGCCTGAGTCTCAAAGAACAAAGGAGAAAATGCACTTTAGCTTCTTTCCTTGTATCAAAATAGAGATATATCTGTATTTATTGAACACTTACCATATGCTGAGCACTCTTACAGGTACTAAGAATACATCAATGAACACAAAGATGAAAATCTATCTTGGCACTCATAACATAGCAAGATAAAGCAAAGTGAAATATAAAAAAGTCAAATGATATTATTTTTTGGATACTAAATTAATACTAAGATGTCAGGTGCTAAGGAGAAGAAAATAAAGGAGGTTATTAAATGTCAGGTTGGGATGGGGCGCCTGGGTGGCTCAGTCGTTAAGCGTCTGTCTTTGGCTCAGGTCATGATCCCGGGGTCCTGGGATCAAGCCTCGCATCGGGCTCCCTGCTCCGCGGGAAGCCTGCTTCTCCCTCTCCCACTCCCCCTGCTTGTGTTCCCTCTCTCGCTATGTCTCTCTCTGTCAAATAAATAAAATCTTAAAAAAAAAAAAAAAGTTGGGAATGGAGGTAACGTTTTACATGAGCGGTCTAAAGCCCTTATTGAGAAAGTAAGTTTTGAATAAAGACCTAAAGGAAGTAAGAGACAGCTGTGTAGATGTCTGGGGGAAAAGCATGTCAGGCACAGAGTAAATCAAATGGAGAGGGAGAAAGGGCAGTTAGAGGAAGGTAAGCCTATGCAGGGATGCCGGGTAGGGCCTACATAGATAATGGTAAGGACTCTGAGTGAAATGAGAAGCCATTAGAGAGTGTTACACAGAAGATTGTTTTGGTCTTCAAGATTCAGTGTTTCTAACGCTGCAATCCAGTTATACTACATTCTAGCATTACACAACTTAATCATAAAACTCTATTTGTACATTAATATTTCTGAAAGACCTAAGACATAATAAATAGGAACTATTAGCATATATGTAGTGGCTGAAACAGAAATAGATGAGATTGCTTAGCTTGAAGATGTGGAAGTAAATGGGAAGATAGGGCCAACTGTAAAGAACCACCAACGTAGTAAGAGTGGGCAGGAGGGAGACTGATGGGAATGGATTTTTATTACAGAAGCTTTTTTTGTTTTATAAGCAGTCTAAGGATCTGTCTTCTGAAACAGTGATTGCTTAATGGGGTTGGCTAGGAATGATATTCCACAACATTGATATTTGAAGCACATGGTTTCTCTGGGGCTACGGTGGGGTTGATAATTGCCATGGATATACCACAAAAACACAGCAGCTATGCAGTGTGTATGCCTTCAATCTACCACACATAAAGAGTGGGGTTTTTTTCTCTGCACTCTTTTGTTAGAAATTTAGAAATTGGGGCAGATATCTGTGACTCCAATAACAAAAATATGAATATTATTCTAGTCACTAAAAGACATATATCTCCTAGGGCCTACTTTATAGAGTAAAGGCTAAAATTTTTCACAAGCTTTAACAAAGAACATGGTCAGTTAATACAACCTGAAAATCTAATGTTTCTTATGATTTAAAATTAAATTGTAAATTATTATGTGGTCTTTTGTTTCAGATATTTTCCAAGTATGGCAAAGTTGTAAAGTAAGTATTCACATCAAATTTTGAAACCTCATTTAAAAAGTTTATCTGAATTTACTTTTCCATTTTTTAAGATTTATTATTTTTCAATAAAACAGATGTTTGATATAACAGAAAAAATACTGTTTTTATGTATATTTTGTTCATTTTTCTGAGTATATAAACATTGTAGAGACAATTTTTTTAAAGACTTAATTCTATACATGCAATTTTGTTGTCTTTTTTTTAAAACTTGACATTATACTATAAACATCTTACCATGTACTTGAAAGATACACTCTTGTAGCTAATGATCTCATGATATTCCTTTATATATCATAATTTATTTAAACAACAATTTCTTAATCATACTACTAAGAACTAAACTCGATTCTGTTATATAAGACATAAAGGCTCTGATTAAATACATATTTTGGTTATTGGAAGGTGTGTTATCAAGTATACCAGAAGTGGATTTGATTTCACTTGTCAAATAAGTAGAATGTGAAAAAACAAATACTTCGATACATATGACATGCAAAGTGCTTATGAGACTGATAAATAAATAGAAAACATATTCTCCGCTTTCATAGAAAGTTTAGAGATCATTGGAAAGACTGGAAACATACAGAAATGGTAGGGATGATAATATCATTTGGGGCTGAGAGTTACTAAAGGATAAAAGGAACTTCTTATATTTAATTCACTATTTTAAATCAAACATGTACCTACATTATGGGGAAAAGAAGTAAAAGCAGGGTATTATCATTCTAACTATCTTATCACCAATATATATTCTGGTGTAAGTATGAAATTGTATTTAAAATCCTGAGAATTTAGAATGTATTTTGGCCAGTTTTTTCTAGCTTTGGATAAATAGTAAGAAAATCATCAAAAATGCTTCTAGGTAAATTTTTGTCTTCAGAATTTTTTTTTAGATTTTTATTTATTAGAGAGACAGAGACAGCAGGAGCAGGGGGGAATAGGCAGAGGGAGAGGGAGAAGCAGACTCCCTGCTGAGCAAGGAGCCCCATGTGGGGCTCGATCCCAGGACCCATATATCATGACCTGAGCTAAAGGCAGACCTGAGCTGAAGGCAGACACTTAACCAACTGAGCCACCCAGGTGCCCCCTGGATCTTCGGAATTTTGAATAGTCATTATTACCAGTCAAATCACTAATAATGATGATATGTGACAATGAGCACATAAATATGCTAGGCATTTTTCTAATCTTCTGACATGTATTCATTAAATTCTCACAACTACCTTTTAAGGTAAAATACTATTATTATCCTAATATAAATAACAAAACTGAAGCACACAATAAACTTAAACATATTGCTAGTTAGTGGTGGAGACAAGATTTGAAATTTAACAGTTTGATTTCAGAGCCTGCTCCCTTAACCATACCCTTACCT